GTGATTTATATTTTTTATCTAATGTGCGAAAATAGTTAACATATAATGCTATTTTTAGCCTCAACAGAACCAAGATGAGTTTGCCAAGCGGAGACGCAAAACATGATGGCATGCAATAACAAAAACAATACAAATCAAAGATTCAAACAGTATACAAAATTACCGAAAGTTCAACGAATTTTCATTAAAAGTTTAAATTTTTTAATAAAAATGTCTGGTATGCAGTTTCATAGCCCATACAATTTCAGTATAATAATGTGCAAATTTGAAGTGGCTAAAGATTATCGAGTGTTGCGCATTTCCTACATGAACAAAATGAAAAAACTAAAAAATCAACGGTAATCTTTAGCTAATTGAAACTTGCACTTTATTATACTAGAATGTAATAGGCTACAAAATTGCATAATTATTTTTTAAAATTCTGATTAACAAGTTTCAAAATTTTGACGATTTTCTTTTTAATTTTTTTAATTTTACATTTTGTACAAAGTTTTCAACTTTTATTTATATGGCTTCTGTAGTAAACACAAACAAAAAATATCATTTCGAATTTGGTCCAAAATGATATGACCTACACTGTATATGCATATTGTAATTTTGATATGAAAAGAATATGAAATAATAATAATAAATAATGTGAAATAATATGAAAATAAAAATTATAGCCGCACCACATATTGACATCACTCACTGTAGACTGTACAGCCACTGTACATTTAAGAATTTAAACAAAACTTATAACAATTTATTTTGTATAGTAATTTTATTTTTTAATTCAGTTCATAACTTCACATTTGGTTTTGTGCTTTCTTATTCAGTTCATAACATAACCTTTCATTGTATTACAAAAGCTCATGTACATATACAGTGACGCGCAAAATTATTGACACAGAATTTTTCACAATGTATGCAAAATTGTTTACTCTTTATTTTTTTAAATTTTTTATAAATCTACTGTTCAGAGTACAACAAAAAACCAAAAAAATAAAATCTCTAAACTTTGTACAAAGCTCAGGAAAATTTAATAAATTTGCATACATATTTGCAACTTTTAATCAGA